TCCACCCTAACCTGCACATCCCTGGACACTATGGGGTAATTTAGCACTGCCAATCCACCCTAACCTGCACATCCCTGGGCACTATGGGACAATTTAGCACGGCCAATCCACCCTAACCCGCACATCCCTGGGCACTATGGGACAGTTTAGCACAGCCAATCCACCCTAACCCGCACATCCCTGGGCACTATGGGACAGTTTAGCACGGCCAATCCACCCTAACCTGCACATCCCTGGGCACTATGGGGCAATTTGGCACGGCCAATCCACCCTAACCTGCACATCTTTAGACTGTGGGAGGAAACTGGAGCACCCGGAGGAAACCCACACAGACACGGGGAGAATGTGCAAACTCCACACAGACAGTCGCTCGAGGGAGGGATCGAACCCAGGTCCCTGGCACCGTGAGACAGCAGTGCTAACCAGTGAGCCACCGTACCGTGTGGGGAATGGAAAGAGAGCCAAGGATCAGAGTGTTTCAGCAGGGAGGCTGTGAGTTGTGGGCTCTGTTTGTACTGAACTGGGGCAGCAACAATCAACTTTTGACACAAAGACAGGCTGACAGTATGTGGGATGTCATCTTCGGGTCTGTACGCTCAGGTCTGTCACACCAGTGTATCGCAATGGAACATTACTCTGTCTGACAGGTTCCTCCGCTTTGAAACATAAACACCCAGAGGAGCACGGGGAGGATTTGACTGCATTGACAGGTAGAAAAATAAGAGAAGGTCTACCATCTACAAGACGCACTGCAGCAACTCACCGAGGCTCCTTAGACAGCACCTTCCAAACCCACCACCACTTCCATCCAGAAGGACAAGGGGCAGCAGATACATGGGAACACCACCCCCTGCAAGTTCCCCTCCGACAACTCCCCATCCCGACTTGGACATATATCGGCCATTCCTTCAGTGTCGCTGGGTCAAAATCCTGGAATTCCCTCGCTAAGGGACATTGTGGGTCTACCCACAGCACAGGGACTGCAGCGGTTCAAGAACACAGCTCCCCACCACCTTCTCAGGGGGCAATTGGGGACGGGGAATAAACATGGGATAAGTCAGTGATGCCCGCACCTCAGAAATGAATCAATGATAGCGTGTCTATCCATGTCTGTTGGGTAATCCAAATGTGCCTTCCTGTCAGAAAGCATAGAGCATAGAAACAGTGCCTTCGGCCCAACAAGTCCATGTTGACCATAATCCCACTATTATCAACCATAATTGTTGGTTGTGTGCATTTCAAGACACAGTTAGAATGCAACACACAAGCTAGGAAAGTTACAGCACAACTGGGACTCAAGTTGGACCATCACAAGAATTATCAGTGGGCCATTCGGCCCGTCGAGCCTAATCTCAGATCATGCCCAATCTGATCGTGAGCTCGGCTCCACTTCTCTCTGTGTCCCACCACTGACACACCTCAGCTCCCTTCCTGGTCCATCTCAGGCAACAGTACACTGCATCGTCCAGCCACAAACCCCTGAGACAAAAGATTCCTCCATGTTTCCTTCTGAAAGGGGAGTCCCTCATTTCGCAACGGCGATCCCTGGTTCAAGATTCACCCACAAAATAACCTCTCAGCACCTGTCCTGCAGAGCAGCCCCGAATCACCCTCCAGGATCTTCCAAGTATCAATCAGATCGCCTCTCACTCTTCTCAAATCCAATGAGGACCCAGTTATCAAACAAAACACACTTTGTCTCAAGGAACAGGCGTGTACTGAACAGCCCTTAACGTGGTGAATCCTTGGGTCAATAACAAGACCACACATATGCAGGTTATAGAGACATAGAGTCAAGCAACACAGAAACAGACCCTTCGGTCTAACTCATCATGCTGACCAGACGTCCCAAATTGAGCTATTCCCATTTGCCAGCATTTGGCCCATATCCCTCCACTTCCTCTGGCAGCTCATTCCATACACGCACCACCCTCTGTGTGAAAAAGTTGCCCCTCAAGTCCCTTTTAAATCTTTTCCCTCCCACTTTAAACCTATGCCCCTCTAGTTTTGGACTCCCCTACCCTGGGGGAAAGACCTTGACTATTCACCCTATCCATGCCCGTCATGATTTTATAAACCTTTATAAGGTCACCCCTCAGCGTCTGACATTCCAGGGAAAATAGCCCCAGTCTATTCAGCCTGTCCCTATAGCTCAAACCCTCCAACATCCTTGCAGATCTTTTCAGAACCCTTTCAAGTTTCACAACATCCTTCCAGTAGCAGGGAGACCAGAACTGAACGCAGTATTCCAAAAGTGGCCTCACCAATGCCCTGTACAGCCGCAACATGACCCTCCCAACTCCTATACTCAATGCACTGACCAATAAAGGCAAGCGTACCAAACACCTTCTTTGCTACCCTGTCCACCTGCGACTCTACTTTCAAGGAACTATGAACCCCAAGGTCTCTTTGTTCAGCAACACTCCCCACGACCTTACAATAAGTGTGTAAATCCTGCAATGGTTCACCTTCTCCAGTCTTCTTCCATTTGCGCACCCAGCCGTGTCTTGTTGACATTGCTCTGAGCAGTGTAGACATTTTCGCCCTTTCACAGTATCATTAACACCTATTTGACATCTCAGTCACTCCTTTACCACTGTAGCAACTCCTGCCTTTGGCTCTGGGCACCGTCACCATCTGTTCCGCTCACTCTTACTCCCTTTCTGTCTACGACAAGAAATCCAACCTTATCCAGCCCTTTTCGGTTCTGGACTCGAGTTATATCAGACTAGACATTAACTGTTTCTCTCTTCACGCATAGTTTCTGACCTGGCGTTAGTGAGTTAGTGAATTAAATCTAGTCAAGGGATTTGGGGTGGTTTATATATCGAACAACAGATAGCCAGGAATGAACTACAGACTGGAATCTAACTGAAGGGCTCAGGGTAGTTGAAATATAAAATAACAGATACCTGGGATTTACAGACTGGAATTTAATCGAGGGTTTTGGGATGGTTTATATATAGAATAACAGATACACAGGAGTAAGTTACAGACTGGAATTTAATCGAGGCTTTTGGGATGGTTTATATATAGAATAACAGATACACATGAGTAAGTTACAGACTGGAATCTATTTGAAAGGGTCAGATTGGTTGTTTTGTGGAATAATAGATTTCCGGGAAATGGATGCAGGCATAATGACACAATCTAGAGACTTGGCAAATGAGTGTTGCTAGTTGCTGGAATATTCAGACAGATTAAGCTATTAGGAAGTGAGTGAGGTGTCCTGTCAGCACTTCGAGCACTGACACCCTGTACAATTTATCCTGCTGAAGGCATGTTTTATCTGTAATATCGGCTGATGGGTTACTAATAGCAGGACAAATGACACATGCAGTGACACAGGCATCAACCAGCTGGTATAGGCACAGTCCAAACGGAAGATACTGTACTGAATCTCCGACAGTGCCCACTCCCTCAGCACTGACCTTCCGACACTGTCCACTCCCTCAGCACTGACTCTCCGACAGTGCGGCACTCCCTCAGCACTGACCCTCTGATAGTGCCCACTCCCTCAGCACTGACCCTCTGACAGTGCGGC